GTTAACCACAGGTTGTTAGATTTCAAGCTCCGAGAAACTGGGCTTAATCCGAAAGTCCGTAACTGGGTTAGAGCGTTCTTGTCCGGGCGGACCTACAGGGTTCGGGGATATCTGTTGGAGGTGGGAACGCGTTTCAACGTTCAGTAAAACAAGAATGCGATGTAAAACAGGAGTGTTAAAGCAGGGTCACGACATTATTTTTAATAAATTATGATTATACGGCTTTCAAAAATGCAGATTAGCTATCGGTTTGAGATATTCGCAAAAGACCTGAAATGAGCACCACATCATTAGTGGACAAAGCATTGCTGGGTAAATTGTTTTCAAACGTTTCATCACCTACAGAGGTCAGCTATTCAGTACATGTTATGTTTTGCTGGTACCCGTTTGTTTGCATATGTTCGTCAAGAACCATTGTCGTTCTTTTTTCTCGTTATGTTAGACCTGGTTTACCGTTGAAAAAGCTCAGAGAACGAGGGAAGGGATTACGTTATGACTCGCACCAGGACTAGTAATTCGTATGTTTGTATAATTCCACGAAGGAATAATCCAGCCCAATACTACTGCTGGGAATGAAATCCGAACGTGGCACTTAACTGGAAAATTGTATTGCAGTGCGGGGAAAGCGAGAATGTACAAAGATCTTTGAGTTGTATTTGGCCTGTACACGTGATCCTTTTTGACATGTCTGCCAACTGAGTTGATTAGAGAGCGAAGACAAATTTCTACCATGAAGCACTGCATACGGAGCAAATCCTAAACTTCAAAAAGTGTTCAGTTACAAAACCTTGAAGATGCAAAAATGGGATCCTATTTGGATAAGTCTAAACACACTCCAGTACCGATACACTCGAAAAGAAAGGAGAAAACACCTCTTCAGAATATTCGCCCGCATCGACTGCACTCAGCAAGTCATCAAAAAAGCCTTTGAATTGAAGAAGAAAACAAAACGTAGACAGACAGTCAAGAACAAGAAGAACCTTGCCGTACATCACGGGCTTTTTGGAGATGACAATAAGTTTGTTCTGATAAAACAAAATCTAAGTCACCCACAAAGCGACCGTCTACCAACGGAGCATTCTTTCAAAACCAAAGAACAGAACAACTGGGAAGGATAAGAGCCAAGTTACCTACAAAATAAACCGTAACAAGTGCTCAAAACACTATATCGGACCAACTGGGTAGGTACTTCAAACAAGGATGCGTGAACATCAATTGGCAGTCAGGAGACCTCACTCGCTGTGGCAGATTTCTCTCCACAAGGATCAAGAAGAACATCAGTTCAACCTAGAACCGGTGAAATTCATTGACCGATTCCGGTCAAAACACACCGGAGACTTTCTTGATGTTTGGAACTCTTCGATGGACTCAGTAGACATCCACATCAAATTGGAACACGTGGACATGCCAATGCAAATCAAGGATCGAATGACGCAACAAAAGGTCATGTCGTGACCACAGAACGAACCAATCCAGACGGCAGACTATACCCCGTTCTGTCTTATCGCAGGTTAAATGGTGAACAAAGTCGAACACAGTGAGAACAAGGGACAAAAGTAGTTGTTGAAGAAAAACTTATATAGGTGAACGGGCACAAGCTGTACACCGGCACTTCATAAACACTGAAGATGTCAACTTGGCTAGTAAGGAGAGGTCCGCCAATATTGGCGAACATTGTCAGAACTCAGTTTTAGAGAAGGGGGACTTGCGATATCCAGATGCGCAATGACGATCCGATCTCTAAATATCCCGTGTTTCTCGATCGCCCAGTATGAATCAGGAAGAATCACTGGTTAGTCGAGGGAAAATATATTGTTCCATGGAAGCACCGGAGTTTAGCCTGATTGCGCTCGAGAGTATCTGAAAGCGGAAATGCTTAGCAAGTGAAAG